GCGTGGAATTATTCTGGAAATTAGATATATGTATTTAAAGCATACACATTTTAATGTTTTAAACCATTTTAAAATAGTCCCCCCCCCCCAAAAAAAAACCCCCCACAAAAAACAAAAAACGAAAACAGCAATTGTGGCAGTGTTCATTCGGGGATAAAAACGATGTTAAGGCACGATATTAGCTTATTTCGTGAAACTTATGTTTTAAACGAACTTTTTACATTTACAAAATCCACAACCTTAAAAAAATGTGTAATGAATTTATTTTTAAGCTGCACACTCGTTTAGAAAATAATTTTAAGAGTTCATTTTAAGAGTACAATTAGGAGAAAGCTAAAAAAATTGCCTTAACTAATACAGCACTGTTTAGAAATTCTTGCTGAAGTTATAATCTTAAATAACTTAAGAGTTGTTTCCTTCCCTTTGTGTGTCATTTATCAAAAGAGTCAGATAGAACCAAAAAAAAAACAACAAAAAAAAGAAGATAAGAAAAGGCAAGTAAAATAAAAGCAATTTATTTTGGGGTGATTTCTTAGGCTACAGGGGGTGCCAAATACACTCTGAACTGTGTTGTAATAAAACATATTAAATGTATAGATCTGCCATTAACTTACAGTGACTTTGGACACACACCCATCCTCTGGTCTTTAGTTTCTTCATTTATAAAGTAAAGGGATTAGACTAGGTGATCGAAAAGACTTATTTCAGCCAGAAATGATATGTCTCATGATTATAACTTTTTAAAAGTAACCAAAATGAGTTCACTAAGAGAAAGTATGACTGAACCCTGTCTCCATGTTATTTCCATGATGAATGATATCAGCAATCATCCTGTATTGAATGTCTGCTATGTAACGGTTCTGAGAAGCTCTTTACATAGATCATTTTATTTAACACTCAACAGCACCACCATACATTAAATGGCATTATCTAATTTACAAATAATGACTCTGAAGCATGGAAAGTTTAAGCTCCTTGTCCTAAGTTCCCCAGTTAGTAAGGGCTGGGTCATGGGTCCCCCCCCCCCCACTTCCCCCCACTTCCCAGTGCTCTGAGCATCTACACTATACCGAATGTTACGATTAACAGCTGAAACCACCTGTAAACACCAGCTAAGAAATGACTGAAATGTAAGACCATAATGGGATGGAGGTCAATTATATAACAACACTGAGTCTTGATATCATCAGATATAGAAATGATGTATCAATCAACATTTACCATATTTTCATAACAATTGTATTGTTATGCTGTACATATATTGATCAGATATTGAATGCCAACTGTATTCATTGTCAGAAAATGATAACATGAGATATATTTGGAACTCAAGTGTTTTTATGGTAATAAGAAGAATGATTACAAATAACATGAAAGGCAGAGGCTAATGTTAAGCAAAAGTATTTCAGACGCTTCCTACTTGGCGGTATCCTTGCCCCACCTACACCCAAAAAAAGAGAGTGGTCACAGCAGAACTAGCTGTGACTAAACCCTTCTGACCATATTCCCATGATAAATGATAATAGTATGCATCGTTTATTGACTGTCTACTCCAGGGGTCCTCAAACTACGGCCTGCGGGCCACATGCGGCCCGCCGAAAACATTTGTTTTTTTACTTCAAAATAAGATATGTGCAGTGTGTGTAGGAATTTGTTCATAGTTTTTTTTTAAACTATAGTCCGGCCCTCCAACGGTCTGAGGGGCAGTGAACTGGCCCCCTGTTTAAAAAGTTTGAGGAGCCCTGGGACTCTACTCCATGTCAGGAATTCTCCTGGGCCTTTTGAATAGACTAACTTTATATTTAATGATCAAATGCTATTATCCTGATTTGTAGGTGAAGAAACTGGAAGGACCCACCAAGAAACACATTTTGCCTTTGATTAAGTCTGCGATCTTTTACTGTTCAGAAATTATAGGCTGTGAACACAATATCGAAATCCTTAAGCCCTGGAGGAGACTTTGAGCAAACTAGACCTACCCCTTTGTTTTATATCTGGGGAAACTGAAACCTTAAAAATTTGAGACTTAAAGTCACATATTCTATTTTTCCAGTTATGATTTTAGTTATGTGTACCTTCCCATAAACTAATATGTGAAAAGTATGTTAGCAGGTTAACTTGGTCATTAGATGTTTGATTTATTGCCACTCAACCAAATACTGCCTCCTGCCCTTTTTTATATTGCTGTCCTACTGTTATTGAAAATTTCAATGTTGCCCCGATTAAGATACAAAATCTTTGAGGACAGTGACTGTATTGTATATTTCTAGAGTTTAGCAAAGTGGTTAATATATTGAATAAATGGTTTTGTCACCTTCTTACCTGTGATAAGTCATTATTTTATGCACTGGGTCCAAAATCTATACAGTGGAAGCATTGTGTCATCACCACTTTTATCTCATGTAGAATAATGAATCTAGACAATTTCCAGGTTCTTATAAAGCATATTGAGCTCCTTAGATGATGAGTGTTTAATTTGAATATAAAATGTAGTGTGTTACCATGGAGAGATTCGGATGGGCACTTCTCTCATTTTGTGGGAAAAAGCACACAGTTAAGTATTACACCCAGTTGAGTATTCATCTCTGTCTCTCTGACTTGGAAATAACTTTTTTTCTGGTTGTTAAAAGAATATAAAGCCCGGTAGGAAATTCAAACAGTGTAGAAAAAGAGAAAAATCACCAGGAACTTCACTAGGTTTTGGTAAACATCCACTTCTCATCTTTCTTCCCTTATCTCCTGCTGAATCAGAGTGAGAGTTATTGAAACCATTTACAGTTTAAAGCTCTATTTAATTTTAGTATTCTATCACTTTCAGGCAGCTCAAACTTCATATAAATAAAGATATTTATTGAGAAATGAAGATAAACATACTCCTAATAAACTGGACTCTTTCTATCTCAGGCAGAATGAAGTAGTGTAGAAAGTTGATTTCCCCATGGAAATGGATGCATGTTTATTTTTTTCCCTTCTCAAGGCAGGATTGGGGGTCAGGGAGCATCTTCACATGTATAGGGGGATCCCCAATATGCCAGGATGTGAGGCCACAGAGGAAGCCACAGCACCTGTGTTCTGTTGCCCTGGTTGAGGTGTGGCAGAGGAGGGGAAGGGTGGAGCTGGGACACTGGTGGTTGTGGTAGGACAAAGACTGTGTTTTCTGATTCCACTGTGACACCCTATACGCTTTGAAATGTACCAGACCGGGTCCCTCTCCCAGCTTCTGGGCAGGTGGTCATGGGACCCTTTCTGGTGCAGTCAGGCATAAGTCTGGCTGTACCTCAGAATGAGAGCAGGATGCCGATAGGGCATTTCTCATTCATTTATTCATGATTCTAATAACACAGAATAGACACTCTTTCATATAAATGGGGAAACTGGGTGCTGGAATAGTTGTTACCAAATGAGTTTTGAACTAATACAAAATTATTGGGTATAAAGGGAGGTTGGGGATCTTTTTGAGAGAGACAATGATAGCTGTTCCATGTGCATTCGGATGGAATTACATTGAAAATATGCATGTATTATTTGATTATTTTAATTTTATAAATTTGCTATTCAAAATTCCTTTTCCCTAGGCACATTTTCTTAATTTGCACTATGTATTTGAGCATAGAATTCTTTCATGCTTTACTTTATTAGGGGCTTAACAGGGCTTAAGTCCAACCATCTGTTCACATCTTGGCACATCAGCACATTGGAGGTGCTGGAAGGGGCTAAATAAATTTCCCACATTTTAAAGGTTAGGGAAGGAGCTACCTTTGTGAATAGATTTCAGATGTTTCTCAGCAAGACAATAGTGCAGAAGTAGAGTAAAAATGCATTTTATTCTTTGAAGCACAAGGTTCCCTGTCTGTCTTTAGTTTTGCTGAAAGGCAATTAGCATTTCAACTAGCCAATTTGGTTACTTGCAATGAAGTACTTGGATTTATAATTTGCTGTTCTTGTCTGAGTCTGTTGAGCTCTGGCTCTTATGTAATCCCCTCCAAGTAGCCTTCTCTCCAGCACAGTTATTGTTGCTGGTCTTACACAACTAATCAATAGAGAGTTTTCCCTGCCTTCAACTGTAGGGTACAATAGGGGAAGGAAAATGAAATGCCAGGCTAATAAGTGGGTGATTGTAATTATTGCTAGCCATTGTTGAAATGTGGCGCAGGTGAAAGGTACAGAATAGCTTCAAATAAAATGAAGCATTGTGTGGTACTCTTAATAGTTTATTTCTGCATGCAGAATGCACAATAAACAGAAGATATATATATATAGTCATATATATGAATTAATTAAGATGACTGAAAATTAACAAAGAAGAAGCAACTCTTAATTTTTTACATTGATTTTGCTTTCTTTCTGCAAGAAAGAATTCCATGGAGAATATGGGTAAAAGAGAAAAGAAATTTTTAAAGTGTTATAACAAATGAACAAGTGCTCTGAAGCATATTGTGGAAATAATCAAGGGTTTGTATTTATGTGTTAATTGAAAAGAAAATCTTTTTAGCTTTAGTTATGGATTCTGATAATTAGGTAATATTCATATACTTCATGTATACTAGTATATTCAGATTCCTTTGAAGGAAACACTGCCTATTATCATCCTTTTGTTAGGATAATTAGACTGATATCCTTTAATCCATGTCATGGGCAGTAATTCAATTTAGCTCAACTTTTAATGCAACACTGTTTTTGCAAAGTTGTATTTATGTATTTATTTGGAAGTAAAATAATACATTTTTTTACTTTTCAAATAATGTTTAACTGAAAGAAGGCCTAATATAGAGAACTATTTCAGAAACAAGCCTTGCAAGTGAGCAATAAAATTTTGAGACTATATATATGAAAGAATTGCATTCTCTTCTATATTTCCAATCTGTGATATAGAGAAAAAGCCCTATCTGCAGCTATAATTAGCATCATTTATATATTATTCACGTAAGTTCAACAGCATTGATGAGCAGGAATGAAACAAAGAAGGCTTACCTGACCTCTGGCAGACTAGTCAGCTAAGGATGGAAAGTGTTTTGGAAAAAGTGGGACTTGATCTGGACTTTGAAAAATGGTGGAGGAGAGGAAGTAGAAAGAAGTACAGAGAAGGCCCTGGGGAGAAGCTTGGATCAAAGGAGCTGAGGTAAGAATGATCCAGATGAGTTGTCCCAGATATACATAAAATCAACTTGATGGGAACTGTTGAAAGAAAGGGCTAGCAGTGCAGGGTGGGTTTTAATTTTTTAAGAAAATGAGACATAATTCACTTAGCAAAGAGAAGAATAATCTTTTAAAGTGATTTTTCAGTGGTATTTATTATATTTACAAAGTTGTGCAACTGTCACCACTGTCTATTCCAGAATATTTTCATCACTGCAAAAAGAAGTAATATATATATACATATATATGTATATGTATATATATATATATATATATATAAATTTTATATATAAAAAAAGAAATCACTTACCAATCTGCTTCACTCCCCACCCTCTCCCCACCCCCATGTCCATGGCAACAAATCTACTTTTGTCTCTACAGATGCGCATGTTCTGGACATTTCATATAAATGGAATCATATAAATACATGGCCTTTTGCATCTGCCTTCTTTCACATATCATGTTTTCAGGGTTCATCATGTTGTAGCATGTTTCACTACTTTATTTTTTATAGCTGAATAATATTGTATGAATATTTTGTTTATCCATTCATTAGTTGATGGGCATTTGGACTGTTTCTACTTTTGGACTGTTACGGACATTTGTATGCAAGTTTTTATGTAATCAGATTTTTCAGTTCTCTTGGTTACATATTGCAGGGCAATAGGGAGGGTGGATAAAAGAGCCAGGATGCATTTAGAAGAAATGTATCCCGTTTCCTTTTTTTTAAAAAATATATTTTATTGATTTTTTACAGAGAGGAAGGGAGAGGGATAGAGAGTTAGAAACATCAATGAGAGAGAAACATCGATCAGCTGCCTCCTGCACACCCCCTACTGGGGATGTGCCCGCAACCAAGGTACATGCCCTTGACCGGAATCGAACCTGGGACCCTTGAGTCCGTGGACTGACGCTCTATCTGCAGAGCCAAACCAGTTAGGGCCCATATCCTGTTTCTTATATACATTCTGTTAGGCCCAGGGCCATATTATGGGGCAAATGCTTCAGGTATGGCTTGCAGATTTATTACTTCCAACTTTCTTTGCACAGATCTTTGCCAATTAACTAAGACATTTAAAGCACCCACATTGTGAGAAAACAAAGGAACAATTTGCAATCAATGACTCCTCCTTCACCCTGGGCTATAGGTTTTCCTAAAAAGGGAAGGATGGTAGTGGCGGGCATAATGATTGACCTATCTAGGATATGCTAAAATCAGAAATGTGATTGGATGTTGTCTGAGATACACTGAATTCAAGTCTCTGATGATTTCTGCCTTTTCCATAAGGAGTCATCTGAATGATGACTGGTTGAGCTATCAAAATGAGAAGATTTATTTTTTATTCTAAGACAAATTGTGGAAGCTTTAACAAAATGTTATTTTGTTAGAAATTTAGTAAATCACTTGATTGAGAATTGGGCTTTAAGTAAAGACAAATCCAGTTCAATAATGTATAGTTTGTCAGATATCACTAATTCAGTTGTGCAGGTGATTGCCTTTATGTATTTGTATATTTCAAACCTTGACTAGTTTTCTGAAAGGATCTGTTGTACTTCATAAAATAAATTGACAGTATTTGTCTTTCTCTGTCTGACTTATTTCACTTAGCATAATTCTCTGTAAGTTTATCCATGTTATGGCAAATGCTATTATTTCATTCTTTTTATGTCTGAGTAATAGTCCATTGTATATATGTATAAATTTTTTATCCACTGGTCTATTGATGGGTTCTTGGATTGTTTCCATATCTTGGCTATTGCAAACAATGCTGCACTGACTAGGTGTGGATATAGCCTTTTGAATTAGTGTGTTGAGTGTCTTCGGATATATACCCAGAAGTGGAATCACTGGACCACAAGGAAATTTCATTTTTAATTATGTGAGGGACCTCCATATTGTTTGCCATAGTGCTGTATCAATCTGCATTTCCACCAACAGTGCATGAGGGCTGGTTGAGCTATCCTCTTTTCTCTATATCCTCATCAACACTTGTTTGTTGATTTATTGATGGTAGCCATTCTGATAGGTGTGAGGTGATATCTTTTTGTGGTTTTAATTTTCATTTCTCTGATGGTTAGTGATATTTAGCATCTTTTAATATGTCTATTAGCCATCTGCATGTTCTCTTTGGACAAGTATCCAGGTCCTTTGCCAATTTTTTAATTGGAGTGTTTGGTTTTTGGTGTTGAGTTGTATGAGCTCTTTATAAACTTTGGATATTAACCCCTATTGGATGTATCATTGGCAGATATCTTCTCCAATTCAGTAGGTTGCCTTTACATTTTTTAGTTTGATTTAGTCTCATTTGTTTAGTTTTCTTTTGTTTCCCTTGCCTGAGGCAATATATCAGAAAAAAATATTTCTAACCGAAATGTCAGAGAGTTTACTGTAACCCATTTTGAGTTGATTTTTATCTAATTCTTTCATCTCTGAATGATCATTTTAAAATTATTTTATTAGGAGTTAAAAACAGGTACTGTTCTAACTCTGTCATTCTTGCCACATTAGCTAGAATTTTTTAAGAAAGAACTTTTCCTTTAACAACTAGGCAATTGGGTTACCTGGAAAAGGTGTTTATCCAGGATAAACAGGATAAATATTTAATTCCTCCAATTTAAATGTTAATTTCAGAGTAAGGAGTTGATGCCCTAGTTACTTTCAGTGGAGACCAATGAGCTTTATCTATCTATCTATCTATCTATCTATCTATTCTTAGGAACACTAGGATTTGTATATTCAGTATGTTACACATAGTTGTAGTCATTATTCTCTTAGATGCACAAAGATTTTAGTCTTTGGCCAGTTGGAACACTTTCATGTTCTTGTATCCCATTGACATTACTCCATTAATCTTTGATAGCTTCTTTGCTGGTACAAGATGTTCTGGTTCATTTTACATATTTCCCTCTCTAGAGTTCAGGTTTCTAGAAGATTCTTGAGTAAACTTATAACTGCGTTTTGAATTCTATACCCAGTAGTTTGCTTTCTTTCATTTGTGACATGTTTCTTTGTCTTTGCATTTTGGCTGCTTCCTTGTGTTTGTTTCTATGTATTGGGTAGAGCTGCTATGTCGTCTTGAGTTGTTAGAATGGCCTTGTGTAGTAGGTGTTCCATAGGGCCCAGTGGCTCAGCCTCCCCAGTCACCTGAGCTGGGAGCTCTAGGTGCAACCCTTTGTGGGCTGTGAGCACAGTCTTGTTGTATTAGACTTGATTGCTGTTGGTGTCACTGGGAGGAATTGACCTCCAGGCCAATTGCCTGTGAGGACCAGCTGCAACTACAGTGGTAGAGCTGCTATGCAGGAGACGCCCCTATGGAGCAGGACTTGCTTCAGTGGAGCTTTGGTTCTCACTGAGTCTGCCCTTGAGTGTGTTGCTTATGGATGAGTAGAGTTGTAATCTGGTCTGGTCTGACACTGGCCACTGGGTACACTTGCTTTTGGGTCTCTAGGGAGGTGCAGAGTCAGCCACTGCCCGGGGCCACCCAGTAGGAGCTACAGAGAGATCTGCAGATTCCTCCTCTTTATATTCAGTTTGGAAGTGCCCAGATGAGGCCCAGCTGTGAAGGAAGGCAGGCTGGTGCTGGTGCCAGCTCTTTGGTCTTTTATTGATAGGTTTGGGCACCCTGACCCAGCTGCAGCTTGTTTGAGAGATTTTAGCCTGAGCAAGGACAGGCCATTAATATTCAAAAGCCACTGCACACAGCTTGGGTGGGTTGTAAATTGGATGAGGCGAGGTCTTAGGGAATCACCAAGGTGGAGCAAACAGAAATGGCTGCCAGTCATCCCTGTGACCAGGGAGGTCCCAGCATAGGAACAATGATCCCTGCAAGCACTTCCATCTGGGAGAAAGCTGCCCCCGAGTTCCTGCCCTGATACCAGATAATCCAATTCCTCCTCGTATGTGTCTGTGTTCCCCAGATCCTCACGCTGGTTCTGGAGCTCAGAGGAAGCGGGACTTTGTAAGTTCAGTTCATGGTGCCAGCCTTTTAAAAGAACAACTGCTTCTCCAGCAGCCTCTGTGCCACTGAGTCCCAATCCACACTGATTTTTATAGCCTATAGTTCTTACTGCTCGTAGGGACTTCTTTTCCCAGCTCTGGGACCTTGGGCTGGGAATCCTCGCTCCTCCTGGCGGCCTCCACAGAGATGATCTCCCTCCCAATTAAAAAAGCCGCCCATGTAGATGCCGGACCAGCTCATTTCTTGCCTCCGCACCTCCTACCAGTTTCTGTGTGCTTTCTTCTTTACTACTCTAGTTGTAGGACTTCCATTCAGCCAGCTTTCCATTGGTTCTGGATGATGAGTGTTCTGTGTTTTAGTTGTAATTTTGATGTGGCTGTGGGAGGTGGTGAGTACAGGTGTTTACCTACACTGCCATCTTCCCCAAATTTCGAGTCCTACTTCTTGATATGTCTTTGTGGAAGCTTTGGTTTTGTTAATATGAATTTGGTGAGTTAATAATAATGCAGCTATTGTTTCATTACTATAAGTTAGGCAATGTACTAAGAATGTTATGTATATTATTTCATCTAATCCTCATGACTACCTTTTGAGGTGGATGACTTAATTCCATATTTTCATGAGAAAACAGAGATTTAGAGAAATAACCGAGTTTTGGAGACACTAAGCCACTTCCCAAGCTAACATAGAAGAAGGTAAGACTGAGCTTGGATTTAACCTAGGCATTGTGACTTCAAAACAAGTGTTTATAAGTTTGTGTAACACAGTTCCTTCATTAAAATAATAATAAAAAAGAGTTGATCAACTATTTAGAATAAGAATCATACAGAGGAGGATGCCAAGATGAAGCATTGTGCCCAGTTTTCAGGAGACCAAAGTGTAGTTGGTGATGAATGTAGTTATAACTCAAGGAATAACACTGTAAATGATTTATAAGAGAGAGGTGCTAAATCATCTCTGCTATGTGGACGCAGAGTCAGGGGACAGAGGAAAAGGGGATGTTGGGAGGTGTAGCGCTTAATTT